CCCCAAAACCCCAAAACCCCAAAACCCCAAAACCCCATATATTGGTAAACGAGTTGATTAAAGTAAAAACTTTTAAATGATAACTTCACAAACAAATTCTTTCGCTAGGATAAGAAAATTCTCGAAAGTAATGGGAGTAGCCCTGACCGCTACAATCACATGTTTACTTGGATTTTGCCAACTAGGCTTACTCCCAAGTGTCACAACCCAAACTATCCGCGTCCCACTTCAAAGAATCGAACTGAAAGATCCCTACGAGGGTCTCGGATCTGAAATGACAATTGTTGAAGAAGGGCACGGGAGAGCACTTGAAGATACGAACTTATAACCATCACTAATCGCTATGACTTACAATATTATGGCAGCTTCTTGGTAGGAAATTCTAAACAAAGTTTCACCTTTGAGATTGACACTGGAAGTTCGCTTACTTGGGTTCCTCTCAACAATTGATCGACTTGTCCATATGACAACAAGCTTACTCCAGGGAGTTCTTATTCAGGCGCTAGTACTAGATACACGGAGTATTTCTCAGGTGCACAGATCAGTGGGACTGTAGCTACTGATAATTTCTACCTAAACTCTTCAGGTACTCCAGTCAGCCTCGAGTTTGTAGGTGCTGATACGTATAGCTCCCCTTCAACTTTTACATTTCTCTCAGATGCACAGCTTGGATTAGCTCCAGGCATTCAATCAGGGAAGCCAGGAACTCTTTTTGTTAAGAAGCTTTATAATGCAGGAATAATCAGCAAGAATGCCTTCTCTCTTAACTTTAACTGGATGAATGGCACTTCATCCATCCTCTTTGGAGGTTACGACAATGAACTTATTAAGAATGACAAGGCTCTTTCTTGGGTGGATCTAAAAAATTCAAGTTATTGGACTGTTGACATTGACAATTTCAAGTACGATGGTACTGAGCTTAGTCTACGTACATCTAGCGCAAGGATTGACACAGGAATATCATATATACTTCTGGAGTCAAGAGACTTTTCAAGCCTTTGGACTCAGTTTAAAAAAGGTAGAACATGCGGCTATATAAGCGGATCAACCCAACTAGCTTGCACCTGAGACTCTGTTAAGGATTTCAAAGATATAAAGTTCAAGCTTGGAGACCACGATATGAAGATATCCTCATCTGCCTACATAAAATTCTACAACAGTACTAGCTCAAACAATACTTGTGCATTCTTAATTGGCTCGTATTCAGGAAGCAGCGGTAAGTTATCAGAAAATTGTATTTGATTTTTCTTTTCGTTTCACCGATTATATGCGAACTCAAATGTTTTATAGGCGGCATAGTTTACCTAGGATACACATTCATGAGAGAGTATTACATCTACCATGATGTTACCGCACAAAGAGTTGGCCTCTACAGGAAAGGCTCCTCAGGCCACCCATCAGTTATACTAACGATCATTACGTTGGTGGTGCTCATAGTGAGCTTCTAAAAGAGGTCTAGACCCAAACCGTGTGCTAGTCTCTTCTAACCCTCCCTGGCCGTTCATTCATGACTGAAAGGATGGCTTTGGGTAAAGAAAACCAGAAGAGATCTTAGCATAAATACTATTTCATCAATAACACCGTTTGAGCAAAATTTGAAATTTGTTTTGTCAATTCTTGTTTAGAGGAAAGGGGTTTTGGGGTTTTGGGGTTTTGGGGTTTTGGGGTTTTGGGGTTTTGGGGTTTTGGGG